GAAAATAGGCCATCAACAACGGAGGAAGTTAAAAGCAACGCACATATGACATCCATAAATGCCAATTCGATCAAAATAACAATTTCACCACAACTTATTCTGAGAGTCAAAACAGCAATTAATCACTAGCGCTAGTGATGTCCGCCCACACTCTCACCCTCCTGACCCTGCCGGGCAGCAGCTCTTATTTTACGCTGCTCCTCCTTGTAAATCCGATTTCTTCGTTGGAACTGCAGTTAAGATACAGATATGCAATAAAATCAATATAAACAATAGATAAACTGCTAGGAGGCTTGCTTTTTAAAAAAAAAAAAAAAAAAATCACCATTCTTGCCAAGGAAGCTATATTTTGCTAGTTAAACCATTACAACTAATAAACTTTTGCCCTTGATTTTTGGTTCCTCCTATTCTCAAAGCAACATTCGTGTTGCGGATATAAAGCTTGATAAATTGAATAGGCCACCGAAAGTTGAAAATTGATTCAAGCACGACATCCGCATATTAGCATGCTAAATGAAACAACAAGCTTAACAAAATAAGGCAATTGGCTTTGGCCACTTAAAAGCGTCAAAAGAACAATTTCAAATTTGTCATTTTCAATAACTGCAAGCCAGCAAGTGTCTTGGTCCGTCATATACCATCATATTGTCTTCGCATTCGTGTCATGCAAGATATCTGAGTGGCAAAATGTGTCCAATTTCTAATCATAAGTTTATAGATCACACACACTACGTATGAGAGGAGTTCAACAGTCCATATGAAAGGACCTCAGTACTGATTATGTCATTAAATAGCATGATATGTTAAGGTATAAAAGAAGTAGGACGGATCAACACAGTGACAACAGAAGAATTCAATTTCAAACGTGTCGAGTTTCCAAAAAAACAAATTATAATATGGTTGTCGACAAAGGCATTGTATTTCAACTCCTAATAATTATGCCTGGAAGGTAAACTACTTGAAAGAAAACATAAGGGGCTTGGATAACTTTTAAGCAATTTTGCCAATAATTGATATCTCAATTACCTTCAACACATAAATTTAGCTATAGGAAAATGAATGTGCCACAAAATGACAAGTTTAAATCAGTATTTTAGTCTCAAGTTTCTTCTCTATAATGATCATGAGAAAGGCTGCAACTACGAACTTCAGAAGCAAACATCATTAAATGTAAATGCATGGCAATGAAAAGAAGCATTTGGAACTCAGAATGCCCCCACCAAATGTTTCCAAACAAATATGTTGCGATATAGGATGCTTAATTCCACCCCCTCCCCCGAAGAAAAAAGTGGAACTAAAAAGCTCTGTAAATTGTTGTTGGAGTTCAACGATGTCCAGATCAGGGAATCAAGCTTTCCAGATAAACAATACGTAAATTTCTGTTAGAGTCCAACATCACCCAGCAACAGAGAACCAAGGTTTACCGACAAGCAGATACAGTGAACAAAGGTTTTTCCCCGCAAAAGATGGAAGTAGAAATTGAACCCTTATCACCATACATGCGTTAATTTTAACGGAGTGTAAGGAGCTCAGCATATCCAAACTAAGTAGCAGTTTGTAGGCTGTGTTTTTCGTGTATACTCCAGTAGTAGTTTGATATCATTTGGCACCGGGGCAAGGGATTGTCTTATTCATTTTAAACACGATTTGGCTAACCAAAGAATTCAGGGTATAAAAGATTTGTTTTCCCGGCCAACAGAAAGATAAAGTTCAGCATTTTTATACATACTATGCTTCTTCGAGTAAAATCAAGGAATTCTTATCGAAGAAAACTATCTCTTACTTTTGATACTTCTCAACAATTGTAGGATCCAGAGTCCAGACGTAGCATCTATTTACGTTACTCAAACCAATGCATATTACCCGCATATGTCTAGTTAAAGGAAAAACGTGTATGTCGCCAATTGCTATAATAATGCAATGAGTGCATCAATGACATAAATTAGTGGATAGAAGGAATAAATCGTAACCAATCAAGATTCTACTCAACGTCGACGAAGATCGATCCGGTCGGCAGACGATTTTTATACATCGATTAGGGTTTTCAGAAACAAGAGAAATCAGTTGATGTTGAGCAATGCTACTATACGCAACCAATCAATCTAGCGGAAAATGCGTATGCTAATGTAAGCATAGAGAGATGGGCAGGTTAACCTCTTTAGAATGGTGGAGGCACTCGAGGTAGTCTTCACGGAGAAGAGCACAGTCCTTGGGTTCTCGGCAGCGAGACATACACTCGCTGAAGTCGATCCAGAAGTCGTAGCAGCGACCTTTGTTCCCAGTAATTCCCCACCCTGATGCCATCGCGGTGTCCTTCGATTTGTATCAGCCCTCGCCGTAGACTATTGATTCCGCGGCTGAACGCTATAATCAAAAAGTGATTCGCGGTTCGGAGTTCTCAGTTCAAACGAAATTACCAAAATGCCTGTTTGTGCCGAGGTCTGGGGGAAGGATGACCCGATCAGGCGTTAGCGAGGGGATGGGCGGATTTTTTTAAAGCATTCATAGTTTAGCTATTTTAACTTTGGATTTATTTCTAAATATCAAATCTTACTCATTAGTGCATACTAGTTTTAAATAACTGATTTGTGTATTAAAATTAAATAAAAATAGCAAATAGGTCAGAAATATACTCTAATAATTAAAAAATAAAAGAGAATATACCAAAAAAATCAATAAAAAAGGTGTGGCAAATGAGAAAGAACAAACAAATGAGTAAAAATTTTAAAAAAATAAATAAATATTGAGATAAATTCAAATTAAAATTTATAAAATGAACCATATTCCTTTTCAATGATTAAGTGACTCTTATATTTAGAATGATATTGATAATTACCATATCATAAAAAACAAATGTGACCATCAAAAGGTTTTCATAATAGCTACAATGTAAAAAATGATAATAAATTTATATTATCTGCTGCTCAATTATTATTGAGATGTTTTGATAATTACATCCTTTCACAGCACCTCGTAATAATCTTTCATGTTAAAAACCAATCAGTATGAGAGATGTTCAGGCAAAGTATCCCAGTCAAGGCGCAAAAAAGGCTTCGGCCGGCTAAGATAGAATGAGGGGTCTGATGAATTCGGGGACGGGATATGTCATTGGCTGAAAATGCACCCCAAGACTCATCTTGCATCAGGCTGCAAACCCAGGGTTCTTGTACATCCCCAGTTAATATAACGAGAACCACTTATCTTGCGTTACCTAGTGTTAATCACACGTTCGCACGAGTTGGATCCAGTAAAATTTCTATACATGTCTTGTATTTTTACTGGTGATCACACGTTGACACATTGATGATGAATGAGTAACATCCACAAAAATATTTAAATTTAAATACTTAGTGGAAAATTTATTCTGCAAAAATAACGCACGTTAATGTGAACAATAAACAGAATAAATAATGGGTGCAACTAGTCCATTGCACTCCCAGCCATGTATAACAACTATCTAGATAATTTAAAAGTTATAACAATATATACTACCTCTGGTCCTAATTATAAGTGCCAATTGACTAAAAAAGAAGTTAAGTTAGTTATTTGTAATAAATAGGTGCTGTCTTTTTTAAAATATCCTTATTAATCAAGTACATTGACTAAAACTATAATTATTAGAAGGACTATCTTGAAAAAATTTAAGTAAATGTGAGAGACAAAATAGACTGACGTCTTATATTTAGAACAAACATAAAAGCTAAACGAAGTCTTATATTAAGAACCAGAGGTAGCATGTTACAACATTTTTCATGTCCTCTGCAAACGAGTTTAAAAAATGTATTTAATACTCGACATTCTCGCCAGCATGAGGAAGCAAGAAACCACAATGACATGTGGCCCGAGAAGATTCACCTTATGAGCTCCTTGTGAGGTTCCCTTTCGGCTTTACCTGATATAAATCACCTGTGAAAAAAGGATCATGAAAAACTAAGTTTTGAGAGAAGAAGACCAGAGACATGAAACTAATAGAACAGAGGTAGGTCTGAGGGTCAATCGTAAATTTGGAAGCCTGTGTAATACTTAACTCGTTATTTGATCACCGTAATACTGCTATTCTATGACGTCAATCAATCGAGCATCTAAATCAACTAGCTTGTGAAAGACATTGATATCTTAATTTGATTAGTTTGACACATCCAGTGACTACTGACTACCGTACTGTTATCAATCATTAAACAACCCATATTATGGGTACTACTTATGGTTTTTAATACAGAAGTTTGTTTGGTTTTTATTTTTATCCTAATAATAATAGTAGTTTTGATCAGTCCATATTATTTGTAATATTTATTTATTTTTTTTAAGACAGTCATCATAACAGTAATAATTCTACTCAATATATTTGTTTAGTAAAAATATTTTTAAAAAGATAACACCTATTTATTACAAATAACTAATATAACTAATTTATTTAATATATTTAAATTAATCAACTGGTTCTCGTGTTCAACATCAGAACTTGTATAAATTACTATCATTCACAAGGGAGCATGACCCTTGAAAGTGGTATTTCTTGGTTGACCCTTTTTAATTGTCCAGGCAGCGTCTAAAACATTAAAACTTGACTCGCCCAATGAGACATTGAGACTTGCGGAGACTGCGAGGGCAGAACCACGAACTCTCCTTAGTCCTTCCTCGCCGAGTAACGTGCTAGCTAAGGACGAGCTAAAAGCAACAACGTGCTAGCGAAGGATCGAGGAGAGGGATCACATGCACCTGCGCCAGGCTATTCACTTTTCTAGCAGCTCTGTGATTCCATTCTTTTGTAAATACACGGTCAACATCAATTTTAATACTTTTGACCGTGGTCAATCTAGTCGCAGCACTCCTGAGCTCATCTACACTCGATCTTTTCCTATTATTGCTCATGCAGTGAAATGGCGGTCTCTACTCCTTAGTCCTGACGCGCGGGAGCCTCTGCTTCATTCCCCTCGTCTTTAACAACCGTAGAGCTATTGGCCATTCTCGGAAAAGAAAGCAAACATTCCCACCTTTTCTTTCTGCTCCGCACCACCCATAAAGCTTCCGTCGTGTGAAGGCGAGACCTTTCTACAATGGCGTCATCTCCGTCGTCTCCAACATCTTCTTGCGGTTCTTCTTACTCTTCCCCGTTCTCCTCTCTTCCCATAATGTCCCTCAGAACGAAGATTGTCGAGAAGATTCAGGAAAATCGCGTCACCCTCATCGTTGGGGAGACTGGCTGCGGTATGTTTTTACGCGAGTTCACTTGCGCGAGGCATTTAGTTTTCTCTTGCTCCATTACGTTTCGGTTTAACTGTGTTCATTATATCGGAGAAACTCTCGGTGCCAACCTGATTAATTTTCATTTGGATGCTTTTTGTTTTTGGTTGAGTCGAACATGAAAGGGGAAGCTGCTATCTTCGTTTTCTACATTAGCATGTCAAGGAAAAATAATGCCTGCATTCCTCCTCTTGCAGCATTCTTGTTTGTCAATGCATGTATGCTTTTTAATGTCACGTCTTGGACGTTTTATCCGTGCGATCGTCCTTCCTGATAAAACAAAGTCGCATTCTTCCGCGCTAGTGAAAGCATCTTGGTCATTTGTTCCTCTTGCGCACACCTAGGTCTTAATTTATTTGATATTTCGATTTTCATGTTGAAATTGCGGGGATTAGTTTCAGCAAGAAGTACCGATTCAAAAGACCTTCGATTAAAATGAATATATTCTACTTAATAGTAGTTGTATATCCTTTTCATGTCGTTGATACTGCCACTTTATTTCCTCCTTAGGGAAAAGTTCACAAGTTCCGCAGTTTCTTTTGGAAGAAAACATGGCACCCATCCTATGTACGCAGCCCAGGAGATTCGCAGTTGTCACTGTTGCTAAAATGGTTGCAAAAGCTCGTAATTGTGTCTTGGGAGAAGAAGTTGGATATCACATTGGACATTCAAGGAACTTATCAGAGAGGTAATCCACATGCATAGTTAGTAAACCAGCTTCCTTCGGGGTTTTACGCTTTCAATTTTTTGTTGAATGTGATTGCCGTTCAATCATTTGCTTGTACTTTTTCTGGTTGCGAAGCCTTGAAATGATTTGTTGGAAATCAAGACTTTGTTAGGCGCGATGACAAAGGATTTTCTAATTTTGTCGATGGCAATATTTGTCCGAAAAGGACGCGGCAATAGTCTTATTACCCATACGGTTGTTGTAATTTCTGTTGATGCATTTGAAAGTATAAAACGATCTAATTACCTATATATCATGCTGACATTTACGCTTCTTCTTGCAAAAATATTTTGACTCATATGATGTAACAAAACTCTCACATGTTCACCGGCATACCACTTTGTTGAAGAGATGCGGTTCTCATACACACACACACACATTTTAGATTTAAATGAAAATTCCTATAATTCTATTGTTTTGGTTGCATTTAAACGTTGTGCGCCTGTGTTTCCATGTGCACTACTTCAGGTCAAAGATTGTATTTAAAACTGCCGGAGTGTTGCTAGAGGAACTACGAGAGAAGGGTTTGACTGCACTAAAGTACAAGGCTATTATTCTCGATGAAGTGCATGAAAGATCTGTAGAGTCTGATCTCGTTCTCGTCTGTGTGAAGCAGTTTTTATTAAAAAACAAAGATCTGAGGTAAACATTAAGTTTAACGGTTTTGTTCCGTGGGCATTTTTTTTTTTTTTAAGTACTAACTTGAAGTCAATAATTCAGTGTTGAAGACTCAAATCTCATTAAGTAACATAGAGGAACTATGCTGATTTTCATGTCTAAGATTCAGTTCCGTGTTTAATAATGTTAAGTCTCGAGACCTTGAGGTTTATTTGTAAGGCTGAATTGGCTTTAAAGATGAGGCGGGGGAAGGGAGTGGCAATGTTTTGAGCCTGCAGATAAAAACCCCATTGATGGATATCTTTACTACCTAATCGCATGATTCTCATTGGCAGTCTGGTCTACAAATGCACTTGATAAAATGATAGCAACCCAAACTGCCTCCCTGGACTTGATTAGAAGCATTTTTTTCCCCTCGTTTTCATGTCCCATTCAATTCAAAATAATTGGCACAAGGATCTAATATATTATATCCTCAAAATTTTCAGCGTTGTTTTGATGTCAGCAACTGCAGATATTTCAAGATACAAGGAGTACTTTAGGGACCTTGGTAGAGGTGACCGAGTTGAAGTTCTTGCAATCCCTACCTCCAATCAGAGAACTGTTTTCCAGTGCGGTGTCACATACCTTGAGCAGGCAAGCATGTGGATTCCATTAGAATAGAACCACATTCCTAGATTGAGTAATCTACGTTTGGCATATCTTATTTAACGTAGACCGTTATAATGGGTTTAAGTTTGTGGGAATTGTTGCAATAATTATGGACCGAAAAAGTGAACACTTTAAGCTTTCTGGATTCATTTGATTTCTTATATCCTGCTTGTGAAAGCCCAGCCCTCTTTGCTAAAATTACCTGCATTACTAAAATCCGAGTTACTACATCAATGATGGACATTCTACTTATAACTGCATCACGCCTGAGTATATAATCAATGGTATATTAAATGAGAAAAACTTTTAAGCACCTGAAACTTTTGGCATCTGAAGCTTAAGGTGGAAGTAGGTTTAAATGGAGGAATAAGAACACAAATGAAATTAGAATACTTATGGCTTGTTCTCAGAAGAAGCTGGAGAGTGATGACCATATCTAGATAAAAAATTTCCGACAAAAGTAATTGGAATTGCCTAATTCTATGTGCTTGTTAAGAAAAATAAGGTTTTCCTTGTCCTAAATCATTATGCAAGATGTGGCTGCTCTCTGCTGATGCACATTTGGTCATTGTCTTTCTGACTCGTGTTTCATGAATAGGATATCTGTGACAATAGTGTTAACATTTTTATTGCAGGTAGCTAACTCTCTTGGGGTAAGCTCTGAATTGATGCAGTCCATACGTCCTGGTCCGGATCCTTCCACGGCCAGTGCTAACATTGGCTCTGAACTGCACAAACTTATTCATGATTTGGTGTTGCATATCCATGAGAATGAGCCAGATATTGAGAAAAGCATCCTGGTTTTCCTTCCAACATACTATTCACTGGAGCAGCAATATCGCCTAATGAAACCTCTTAAGTCAACCTTCAAAGTTCATATCTTACATAGTAGCATTGATACTGAACAAGCTCTAATGGCTATGAAGATTTCAAGATCTCATCGAAAGGTACTTGTTTTTAATATAGCCAATCGTGGTGTCGTTCATAGGCTTTTTCTCAAACTAAGAGGGATATCATCATAGCTTAGTGTTATTAACTGTGTAGTGGAAGTTATTATTGATTAGTGCACCATGACTTGATATAAACAGATAATAAATTCTATATGGTAATTGAAATTAAGATTTTGCAAGTTGGATACTATACAGGTGGTAAACTCTATATCATGAGCTATATGTCATAACCATTGGTTCAACTTCCCAAAAGGATCCAATATAAGTTGTCTTGTGTAATTTGGCTTACACACATTTATAGGCAACGGGTGATTACTTGATTTCTATTGATGTAATTCTTCCACAATGGGGTTTCTCATTTGTCTCAGCAAGTTTGCGGATGTTTAAACAGCTACTCACATTGTCAGAAGTAGTTTGAATGATATCCTGCCCTGATAATTTCTGGCAGCTAGGGAATTTTTACTGAGTGATTTTCTTGTAATCTTGTAAAACAAATATTCATGATCTATGCTTTTGATGCTATCTGATAAAAGATTATTTGGTTAGGTAATTTTGGCCACCAACATTGCTGAATCATCCGTGACGATACCTAAAGTGGCTTTTGTCATTGACTCATGCCGATCCTTACAAGTCTATTGGAATAAGTGTCTGAAAAAGGAAGCTACAGAGCTTGTTTGGGTTTCAAAGTCTCAGGTAAATATAATCTTAATGCTCTACGGTGACTTGTTTTATTATTTCATTATTCTTAATTTTATGGCATCTTGTAGGCTGATCAGCGCAAGGGAAGAACTGGTCGAACTTGTGATGGCAAAGTTTATAGGTTGGTTACTGGGCCTTTTTTCAATGGGCTTGAAGATCATGAACATCCTGCTATTCTGAAATTATCCTTGAGGCTTCAAGTCCTTTTGATTTGCTGTGCTGAGTCTAAAGCTATAAATGACCCCAAGGGTAAGTATATATGACCCGGATTTCCAATGAAAATTGTGTAAATTTGATCTCTTTTCACAATTATGCACAGTAATGATTTATCCTGAAGAGGCAGTATTGTTGGATTGACATCCGCTTGCTTTAGAAGAAGCATCACTTGCAATTTGTCAGTGTCTAAAGCCAGTTTTGATTTGACCTAATGTTGACTGGTGCATATGAGATATAGCATTGGGTTTCTTAATTTTCCCTCGCAATGAGAAGGAGCTTGTGAATATTGAGATAATAAAGTGTAATTATAATGAGCTTGTTTAGTCTTTGGCTCTAGCAAATTGTCCTGACTGATGGATTTCATTTCAGTATTGTTACGAAAAGCTCTGGATTCCCCAGATCCTCAAGTTGTTGAAGATGCATTGGATTTGCTTGTTCGGATGCATGCACTGAGAAAGACACCTAGGGGCCGTTATGAGCCTACATTCTATGGACGGTTAATTGCTAGTTTTCCATTGTCTTTTGATGCTTCTGTTCTAGTGCTTAAGTTTGGAGAAATAGGGATGTTGCGTGAAGGCATCTTGCTGGGTATAATGATGGATATGCAACCTCTACCCATTCTTCATCCATTTGGAGAGGAAGCTTTGGTAATATCTATCAGTTGAATCAACTTCATAATTTTTTAATGCACCTGATTGCTTGTCTATGTCTACCAGCCTTTACTCATCCTCTGATTGAATATTTTTAATTTCATCAGTTCGCCAAGTACATTGAATGCTTCTATGGTGAAAAGACCATCTTAAATGGTCGAAAGGAGAGAGAATTCTTGGGTAACTTCTGTGCTTTTCAGTTTTGGCAGCATGTTTTCAAGGTACATTCTCTGTTGATTATGCTTATAAATTCCAAATATGTTAGCATTAGTAATTCAGCATGCGCAAATAATTTTCCCTGATTTAGAGGGCTATTTCCATACGGCTCTTTCTGGGCCACACCCTCCAGAGCAGCTTCTAGCAGCCAAGTTTTATGCTTCTGTCATAATGCTTTAACTTTAAAGTTCATATGGATTTGATGGTAAACTTTTTCTCTCATTTGCAGGATGCATATAATGTCAACCATTTGATGCGAGTTCCAAAGAATGATGAGGTAAATCCGGCCACACTCCTGAATGACCTAATGCCTGAGCTTGAACAGGAATGGTGTTCTTCCCATTATCTTTTGCGGTCATCGCTACAACAGGTGTCAGAAATTTGTATGTATCAAGGCTATTATTATCTCAAAATACATACTCTTTGGGATTTTTTTGGGTATCAAAAAGTAAGTTCTTTTGTTTTTTTAATTGGTCCTTTAAATTTTTTTACCATCAATTTTTACAGATGAGGATATACTAAGTTCAGTCCATCGGTTTCGGCCTGAATTTTTGAGCACATCTAATGCCCTACCGAGTTCTACGGATCCTTATCAATTCAAACACACGTGCCTTCTTGAATATCAGCCAGATGTGCATGCAGATGTAGTTGCTGCAAATGAAGAAGGCCTTTCACCATCAAACGAATCACAGAAATGCACTGCTGCACCGTATGTTGCTTCAAATCACTTCTACATTAATGATGTGGCACAGAAGTTTGCTACTATTATCAAAGAGGTATCATCCTTTGGAGTTATTTTTACACAATCCCTGTTGTGATGATTGACTTACCTTTTCTATAAAGAGGTACTATGGATTTTATATTCCTGTATCAAACAGATCAGGGCTCAATATGCAGAGGATGCTTCTGGCCATCAACTGGAAAATGTGGATATCGATCATTATAGTGTAAATGGGCAGGCTCCTCTTTGTGTATTTTTCATTAATGGGTCATGCAGCAGAGGCAGTAGTTGTTTCTTTTCCCACTCATTACAAGCTAAGAGGCCCCAGTGCAAATTCTTCTTTTCGTTGCAGGTATTTAATGCGGATGATTCTGACTTAATGGTGACATCTGTGTATTTGTACGATTCTGATTGTTATATATTGCAGGGGTGCAGGAATGGAGAGGCTTGTAAATTTTCACATGATGCGGGTGATTCAGCGCTATCATTCAGGCCATACTACTGCCTGCCAGAAAATAATGGCGTGAATGCTGCATCGCTTCTTGACTTGTTTCGGGCATCTTCTAACGGATCCATTCTTATACTGGATGACACCGATTTACATTTCACCTTTCATCTTGCTAGCTTCTATGATCCATCGAAAATAATTTCTTCATCATGTTTGTCGGAAATGACCATATGTGAACCATCATTGTCAGGAGTCAGAATTTTATGGGGTCTATGTCATCCATACGAGACAATTATTGCCAAAGAAGGGCAAAATCCTATCCCCTGGAAGGAAATTGGATGTGTGCTATGGTTTCCCTGTTTTGATGGACTCGGTGAAGATTTGGATGGACAGAAGCATCTCTTACAGAACTTCTTTGAGTATCTGGCTGTTCGAATTTTGGCTGACGAATTGCACGATGTGCAGGTTATCATAACCATGAACAACCTCAGATTTTCCCGGCTTCAGGTGATTGCCTGGGCCTTATATAGTAATTCTTCTCTCCGTTACCGTCCAAACGGGTTATAAAACAAGGGTTAATGATGCAAAATATCTCTTTGATGACTGGGATAGGAACAGCCAGTAAACATCTAACAGAATGCTCGTTGTTGCAGGTAGAAAAGTTGGGGAGAGGCTGTTTTTTCTTCCTTACAGAATCATTTGCTTTTGACGAAGGCAGCTTTGGAGCAGTACATGACACCGTTGCCAATAGGAAGCCAATAGTGACATCAAGGCCCGTCTCATATGTTTTTGTTCTGCACCGTCCCAGGGACCCTCGCTTTGGTGTTTGTATAGCTACTCTTAGGGAGCATCTGAAGGAAATTCAGAAAAATTAGGCACGAGCTGTGTGTGAGAGCGAGACTAAGGCTTGGCAGGTCATTTGTGGATATGGCTTTTTATATTTACTTTGAAGATCTTTATGACCAAGGATAAAACTTCAGTGAATACTCAAATTGTTTTGCTATTTAACGTTTTAGCATTACTCTGCTTTATGACACCCAAGCACGCCTACGCACCTACACGAGTGCATATATGCATGCGCTCCCTCGTATGTATGTAGAATTTGATATATGATCCATAATTTCCTTTTTTTTTTTTGTTACAACATAATTTCTTTTGTTGATGTAAATATTTCGTCACAGTGAATATTGAAAGTTTAATGTTTCCCCAAAAAAAAAAAAACTATGTGCTTAATATTTCTGGTTTGTGACGTTGTTAAAAGAAAGTCTTGGATGAGAATTATTTCAGACGATGACAAAGCCTATCCAGAAATGTATTTAAATTTTAAAAGCATTCTGCAAACCAACGTCTCTCAGATTCAGCGCCTAAATAATACTCCTCCGGTCCTAATTATAAGACCCAATTGACTTATTTGAGGAGATTAAGGAAGTAAGTTAAGTTAGTTATTTATAATAAATAAGTGTTGTCATTCCTAAAATATCCTTGCTAATTAGTATATTGGCTAAAACTATCATTATTAGAAGATTATCTTGGAAAAAAATGCATAAATATAAGAGAGAAAATAGATTGGGTCTTATAATTAGGACCAAATAAAAAGTCAAATTGGGTCTTATAATAAGGACCGGAGGAGTATTATTTTAATTAATATCTCTGTATTTTCCGTAAAAATTTGTAAGAATATTTAAAAAAAAGGGTCCGAGTGCTTTAAAACAAATAAAAACGATACAGTCATAAGTAATCAAGTTAAGGATGTTTATTTCAAATTTAAACTGTTTAAACTAAATTGGAGTTGTTCATATTTTATTTTATTCATATAATTTTAATATTTTTTATTTAAAATTAGTAGAGTATAAGGTAAAAATTAATTCTGTAACATTAATAATGACGTTGTAACCTAAAAATAAAACTTTAATAAACGATACAGCTGCTCACGCCATTGGGAGGAGTTGAGGCGGGGACTAGCGTCCGGTCTGAGATGGAGAGGCATGTGGGCCTACACTCCCAGGTTGCGCTTCTCCAGAATCTTTTTGTGCGCTGTGAAATACTGAAATATCGCTCCCGTGTCTTCATTTCCTGAGAGCCCCAACAAGAAGTCAAGAAGGAGTAACGGGTCTACCTCATTAAGATTGATCTCGCCTGCGAAAGAAACTCCAGCGCTGTGTACAGTCTCTACATCCCGATATCTTTGTATCTGCAGAACTCCATCAGAAGTGAGATTAACCTCAATCCTAATTGTAATGATTAAACCCACCTCGCAATCGCGCAAGCCTCTTGATTCGCGGCACTCCATCGATTCCTGTATGTTGCAGCTCCATAGTTGGAGGCCTTTTCAATGCCAAACTACTCCTACCAAAATCCTAGACTCTGATTCCCACATTAATGCTAACCCTAAACCATATTACTCCTCCTCTAATGGCATCCATACCAAGCGCCCCTGCCTCTCCGACCGCACCACCTCGTCCTTCTCTGTGGATGCTATTGATTTGTCTAAGCTGAGCTTGATTGACGATTATAAGCCGATTGCAGCTGGTCACTACAGGAGCGGTAGCTACCGCTTAATCGCTCGCAAGAGGCGGCGCCGGGGGTCCAGGTCTGTTTCGGGTCGGAGCAGCGATCGCAGCGGGACCCGTAGATGCTGCTCAGTTGGGGCTTCGGCAGCATATGGGACATGCTCTGATTTTCCGGTGGCGATGGGTACAGATTCGAGCGGGGAGCTATTTGGAAATGGTGATGCGAATTGGTCATCGGATGTGAGTGAAGCGAAAAATTCGCGGAAGGATAGAGACAGGGAAGGTGGTAGCGGAGAGAAGGAGAATTTGGGATTGGGCATCGGTGTAACTGGGTGTTCTGATGCTAACGGAAATGAGTCTGGTTATGGAAGTGAACCCGGTTATCGGGGGGATGCAGAGTTTGGTTATGGAGACGAGCTTGAAGAGGAGGAGGACGAAACGCGATTATTATTTTGGGGGGATCAATTTGAAGGTATATTTATTCTCTTTTCTTTTGGATTTTGCTTCTTGAGTCCCTTTACTCTGTTGTGAGGTTTCTTTTCGTGCATGAGCTTCATTTTCGAAAATGTATACCTTTGTGCTCACTCTTTGCTCCTCTGTGATCAAAAACTGGTCTAGTGATGTGGTATAATCATGAGCTTGTTGCTTTGTTTGCATGGTATTTCTAGAGGTTAGTGGCCGGAATGAGTTAAAGTGAGTTTGTTTATCGTCTTAGTGGGATATGTTGCATATAGCCATGTAGCCTGGGCCTGGGGAATCGCTAACGCAACCTTCTTTTAGGCTCGGTTACTGGAAAAATTATGAATCATTAGCACTTTGAGTTTATCCATTATTACTTATTGATACGGTATCGGGAAGATGTTTCCTTGCACGAAGGTTAACCCCCCCCTCCCCCCCCCAAAAAAAAAATCATCCTAGGTTTCTAAATTTTGATGAACCTTCTGACTATTCATGTGTGATAATTCTTAGTAATTCAGTGGGTATTTCCAGTCTTCGTTGCTGGAGCTAGTTAAATTAAAGATGCACCACTTGAAGAGTTAAAAATCTGAGATGAAAATGTAGTAGCAAAATTTAGGTTTGAAAAACCCTCTTGGCATTGATATGAAAGGGACCAACCTGACCATACCTCTCAATATGGCCAATTTTGTGCAATGTAGCACAAGGGCTATTGCTACTGTTAATGAACTCTTCCATCTTGCCTACCAAACTAGCTATGTTATTGGGCAGGATAATATCAATGTGAGTTGGGAAATGAGTCATGCAAAATGGGAATGTCGAGGAAAAGGGGGGCTATTGCACAATCAAAATTGAGTTTAGAAAAGCATGTGATAGAGTTAAGTGGGGTTTTGTGAATAATATTTTGAAAGAAGCTGATATTGAGGACAACCCTCACTTGTTATTTATGCATTGCATAACGATTACATCATTGCTACGGAAAGGAGCTGAAATAGAATTCTTTTAGCCCAAGGATTGAGACAAGGAGATTTGTTCTCTTCATATCTCTCTCCTTTCCATGAATAAATAGCTCCATATTATAAGTCACTAGTGGAAAGGGGATTATGCAAGATCCCTGATTCAGCTATTAAGTGTTTGAGTTGAAATTTGAATTGGAGAAAATCATGCAAGGGAAGAGCGAAGCTTAACTGTGACCGTGATGGCTCCATGAAGTCTAATGGCAAGGCCTCAAACCGTGGTGGAGTAATTCATAACAACCATGGGGGAATGGATAATGCGGTATTATAGGAACATAGGGAGCTGCACAATACTCAAAGCTGAGGAGTGGGAACTCTTGGAAGGCTTGACGCTTGCTTGGTGTCCGATACAGATACATGGAGGCAGAAACAGATGCTCAAAATCTGGTGAATTATCCGTCTGATCATCCTCTATGCACACCCCCTAACTCGGTCGTTCTTGCATCGGTATCTTGTTGAGAAAGGATTGGCAAGTGATTATCTAGCATATTCCATGGAAATGTAATTGAGTTGTGGGCAAAGTGTGGGATGGTTTATCGTGCCTTACCATATTCACAAAGGTTCCACCTTTCATAGGAATCCTTGTTCTGAAAGATTCTTGTGGGATCCTTCGTCCTAGCCATGCAATTTTTCCTTTTTTTTTTGCTTTTTTTTTTTGGGGAGGGTGGGTTTCAGGTTTTGGCCCTTGGGCCTGATGTCTCCTGCAAAAAGGTTGATGGGATGGGATGCCTGTTACAAGTATAAAGTCCCGAAAATAAAATGACCATGTGAGTGAATATTAGATTGGAATACAACAGCACGGTGATTTGGTGGGAGTTGGACGCAAGCAATCTAGCGGCTGAAATTGTTAAGAAATAGCTTTCTATGGATGTTCCAGTCTAAAATTGTATGATGAATTTGAAGTGAAAATCTTTTTTATCTGGCTTAGGAATGAGGGAAGTCGATTGTGTTGAATAATGACAATGCAGTGCTGATAATAACTTTGTTGGGAAGCAAAGAAATTAACTATTATGAAGATAATGCTTCAGTTTAATTTAAGCACTAAGACAGTGGGAGATTAGTGTAGTCTTCATAGGAGGGATAAGGTTCATCTGAGATTGGTTTCATTATTTGCATCTAATGGGGAGTTGTTATTCTGTTAATCGCTTAATGATTTGAAATGTAATCAGTAGTAGTTGCGCATATTTGAAAATATTACAGGTCGAGTGTCATATTTGGGTTCTTGTATGATTTCCTTTATAATTAATTTCACTGCTTGGGGTACGCAAATAGAAATAAATACTCACAAAGCAGCTGAAGAATTATAAGATTTTGGAGTTTATTGACTGCTTTTATGGTATCAGCTTTTCACTCCATTTTTCAGTTCAAATAAGTAAGTTGTGATATGGAGACTAACTTTGCATCCATTGCACCACCTGTAGGTTCGAGAATGGAAATGGTGGGGGAGAACAACCTACTAGATCACAAGTCCCATCATAGATGCCGACGTAGGAAGCAAGATTGTAGAATGGTGGATGCATTGAAGTAAATTCCGTGATACGCTCATATTTGGCCAAAACAAGGTACCGAGCATGTCAGCAAGTTGAGCAGGTGGATCTGTGAGCCTGATACGGCTTTGCTAAATTGTGAGATCTACTTGATTCCTTTTGACAAGGAAACTAAGCCTTGACTAGTTGACTGTTAACCATAATCACATATTGATATTAATTTTAAATTATTTATCAATATTGATGATTTTTCTTTTGTTGTGTGATTGCCTTGAAAGATTCATCAAATGTTTTCGCCTGAAAGCGCGCCTGATAATTAATCCTGCAGACGGCTGGGTATCACATGTCGCTTAATTGATAATAAGGTTAATTAAATGTTGGCGCACAGAGTTTTGGGAAATTTTCAAGATCTGAGGGCAAAACCATACTTGTTCTTTGGAAGTTTGGCCTGACAGCTGAGGCATAATTTTTTGTTTAGTAATTTCATTTGCACCTTGAAATGAATTTAATATATTGACCCACCAGTTAATACTGTTCAACGAAACGTCTAAGATGAATAAAAGGGAAACATACTGTAACAACTAACGTGATAAAACAATCTGAACAATGTGAAATAAATCATAATATATGTCCCTCTACTCAAAAAATTGATCATGACATGCCTATATGTTACTTAGGAGTTAAGAATTAAGTAGCACCACCGATATTAATTATTATGTTTATTAATTTTGATTTTATAAATATTTGATATGATTTTATCTTTTTTAATATTTTTCCTTGATTTTTTTTACCAGCATATTTTTTCTTTGACTGACACAGTAAAGAAGGGATTTTTTTACATGGAATTTTTTAGCATTCATATTTATTTTGTACGATCCCTTTCTCCATGTTTTCTTGACTTCTGGAAGTCTTTGCATTTATCAACCTAAGATTCTACGCAAAATCGCAAATTAAATATACAAGTTAATAAATAATTTTTTTTACTGCAATAAAGACGATGTTCCGGGATTGGCAAAAAAAGGGGGGGGGGGGAGGCAATGTTCTGTGGCTTCAATCGAACATCCCACCTTGTCTGCTCTCTCGGTCCCATTCCCAACTTTGACAACAGTAGTCATATGCTATTTAAAACATGATTGTAGCCAAAAAAAAAAATAATAATAATAACTTTATAAATTGTCCCTTTAAACATGTTAATACTGAAACTGATAAATTAAAATAGGGTTCTCTTTCAATATATGAATGAAATTATTGTGAGACAGGGCTCAGAATTAATGATCCAGGACAAATGCAACTGAATTACCATCTCAATAATGAGCCGTATTAGCAGCAGCCGGCCAATTCTTTGTGGCATAAGCCAAACCTCCTGATCACTTGTATGATGTTCTGTCCCCGCGAATCGAAGCCTCTCATTTGTGGGTATTTTAGTCAGCTTCATAATCATTTCCTTTTCGTCATTTTCTAACTAATTGTTCTCATTTTTACGTGCAGAAACTAGAAGACAGACACTTCATGTATTGAAACCCCACATGAGATTTACGTTGCTTATCGGTTCAACGTCTCATTCAGTCACCTGATCGTCTTGTTTTTGTTCGCGTGATCATCTCCTTTTCATCTCCACTTTTTACTTGAACAGAGATAGAGATTTCACGTTGAGGATAACGATTGGCGATCTGGTGTCTTCCCCTTCTTTGTTAAGTCGACGTTTTGTGGATGATCTTTCTGCATAATTTCTACTTAGGGTCTAGTGGAAGAAACAAAAGACATAAAAGAACTTCTTACATTAGAATTGAGAAGCCACGCTTACAAAACAGAAAATGTGTACTTATGCTAGCAATTAATCAACTAAAATATGGCTTCTGATATCGGGGAAGGGTTTCTGTCGGCTGTTCAATGAAACGGATAGCTATGAATGTTGAATGCCAATTATATTTTGGGTTTCATTGCTTGAACCGACAAGTCTGGAGATGAGCATCACAGGCATTAATGAGAGACCCACCTTTCATTCACATGTTCCTAATTTGGACTTACTACCCATCTCATGTCCACCATCCCTAATCCTTTTCTTAAATGCATTCACTACTCTCTTGCCTATTCAACTAACCCCCTCTTCCCCTTCCTCTATTGAAGACCTTTCACCATAACGAGCATGAGATCTGATGATGCATTTAAGGAGCCTACCTTCTGAGCTGATTTCACACTTGGAAAACTTTTTTCTGCTGCAAACTATATGGTCATTCCTACCTCTTCCATTGTGTTAACTGAATACCAAACTAGCAGCACAACAAACACCTCTTGTTTCATTATCTTTCAACTTTTCTCATTATAAAATGACCACACTCCCATGTCTAGTTTTCCTTCTGCTAGTGTTCTTGTTTCCTTCTTTCCTGACAAATACAGGCCATTTGGTTTCTGCAAAAGGGGGCAATTATGTCAGAGACGCATGCTCGGTGACTATGTACCCAGACCTGTGCATCCACTCTTTAGCATCATTTTCCAACACGGCCAGAGGGAGCCCGAGCAAGTGGGCCCGAGCAGGAGTGTCGGTGACAATAACCGAGGTTAAGAATGTTCAGGCACATCTTGCCAAGTTGAAGAGATACCGTCGTCTGAGAGGAAGAAGCAGAGCCGCTCTTTCGGATTGCATCGAGACCTTCGCAGATGCGCTTGATGAGCTTCACAGATCCCTTGGTGTGCTCAGAAGGCTAAGCAGAAGCACGTTTAGTGACCAGATGGATGATCTCAATACATGGATAAGTGCAGCTCTCACTGACGAAGATACTTGCCTTGATGGGTTCGAAGGCCAAAAGGAGGGGCAAATTAAATTGCTGCAGAATCAGGTTCTGAATGTCTCTTATATAACCAGTAACGCTCTCGCACTTGTCAACAAACTCGCCACCACAGGCCTGGGCAGCATCGCCGATCCATGATATAGCAAGTGTAGTGAACTGTTAGTTTGATTTTTTTATACTTTTGCTTTTTAAATCGTCTAGGAAATGACGCTGTCCCCTGAGAAGAAATAAAGAAGGCCGAGGCCTACATCACCAGATGCCTCTGCATAGTCTGTTTGGCAGTTACCACTCTAGAACCGTGGACACCGCTTCCTATCGGGTGGTGTTGTATAATCCTGAGAACCTGTCTTCCAACGTTGTTTGTCTTATGGGCTTTTTTACCGATCATATCTAATTGACCATGGAAATTGAGAGCCGTTGGTTTATTAACTGTGATTGATTTTTTTTTGGCCGGTAATTAACTTTGATTGAATGGTTCAGGAAAAGAGACATCTTTATACGGAGTTACGTAACACCTAAGTTAGCTGGCGACACTTCTAACTGTTTCACTATTCAGTACTCAGCTCATTGTTTCCGTCAACAATACCCATATATATATATATATATATATATATATTTATTTCAAAAACTATGGTGTTATTATTCAGAAAACAGAAGTCAAAATATGGGATTGGGGGTTGAAACCGCACGTCGCCTGGGTGGCTCTGCAGATGGGCCTTTGTAAAACGGGTTTGGGCTGGATCCATCGGCCCAATGTCGCCAGAACCCTGTACCCACTTGATTTTGCAAATACAGTTCGTTTAAGGAGGGAAAGAGTCCCGTGCTATGAAAACACAAACGAAGTGTTCAGTTGCAATTAAGCTTAATAAATCGAGGATGATTGCTACTGCCACGCACATTACAGGCTGGCATTAGTGAAAAACGTGGTATGACCAGAGCATCCCATTTTGGCTGCTGCTTTTGAAGTGAATGATACGGAGTATATACATACAGTGCCTCTTTTGTTGCGTGGCATACATGTATCGTCTTATATGTGCGTAGTAAATATGAATGATGCTTCCAAAATGAGTAACTTTAACTTGATAAGTTCCTTCCAACATTCAATTATGTAGGATCCTATGCACATTGGAGCCTCCGCCGACCAAACCAGAGCGGAAAATAACAGGAAATAAGGCACTGAGGATCCCAAAACTGGATGTTATCACTGGATTTAGAAGCTTCCTAGAACCCAGTGGTGTTTTGTGTTGAATTTAATGATTACTTGAATCAACAAATGAATAATTGATTGAAGCAAGCTGAGTTGTACCGCTCCAACCAGTGCATCTGTTAACATTGGTTTAGAAATGGGGCAGAAACGCACATGATTGGCACACATCACACGCCACCACTGTCTTGGAGTACCTGTTTAATTACCCAAATCTTGTTACCTAAGTGACATGATGTGGGTGTCGGCACCCAAACACACACACGCGTTTGGTTTGTCCAGTAATTAGTTGCAGCTCCAGTTAGAAATTTAATTGTGACGTGGCTTTTTCTTTCTGAGGAGTGAGAAGCATAAATCACACCATTGGCGAGGTCGCTCTGGTAAATCAACTCAGTCTCTTAGCATTTAGGAAACCAACTTTGTTCTCCATCTTAGCTGTCAAGTTTTGCTAATTAACTTCATCACTAATCGAACCCAACTTAATCGTCTGAAACCATGGCTTTCTTGTATATTCTTGAGTCGAATAGATGCATCTTGCATGTCTCCCTGCATCTAATCCTTGCAGTTAGTTAATTTAATTCAAAATGGGTGTATGGTAATACCTGACATATACATAGTTAACCAAGAATGTACAAGAATAGATACATGTACTGTGAGTGTGATCCAAAAATAAAATAAAATCGCAGTGCACTTTTTCTCAATAAATATTGTTCTATTTGGCACGTCATTAGAAATCATATATAGACATGTTTTATGTAAACGGAGACAAAACTTTTCTCACATACTTACTGTAAATCATAATTGAGAAGTTATTTATAGACTATTTCAAAGGACGAGCCTATATCCACATTAAATCAATTATAGACAATTAAAGTTACCACTGTGCAAATGACTGAATGTTAATTAAAACATCTCGAACTCAAGATATTCCCCTCATTGTCGCATAAAGAAGTATAGACATTATTCATCGGTCATCACATAGAACTAGATTATTTGGTAAAACGAGAAGGAAAGGGGGGGGGGGTAAGGTACAATTAAGTTGGGGATTTCGCTTCAAAATTCCAAAGTTTTTGACTTTAGAGCCTCTCCCCACCCTTGTTTGGTTGGGGGGTTTGCAGGAATTGGAGGGAAGAGGAGATTTTTACCCACCACCCTCTCTTTCTTTCTTTCTTTTTTTTTTTTAAAATGCAATGGATAATTCTCATTGCAAAGTAAACTATACAAAGTTAGGTAATATATAAGTAATAGGATTTACATGATTAAATTGAAAGTGGAAACACAAACTTTCTAAAAAATGCCTAACTAGCACAAATACCTATCAAAATATTTTCAGCAGTATAATTCTCATTGAAAAAGAGATGGTGATTTCTTGCTTTTCATAATTTCCAATCTCATCTTTTAAAACAAACAAAATATTAAATTAAATATTAAAATTTATTTTTCCCTCTTCTGTTTTTTCCCCATTCCGTTGAACCAGACATGATTTAAGCTCCACATAATTTATTGTAGCCGGCGCCCTCAGGCTAAGGGTGGACAGTGGACACGCAACAAGAGAGAGAAAGGAGAGCAACAGATAACCAGAAAACATAAAGAGAGCCCCCGATACTGTGGTACACGTACGAACCAGGGCGAATGATATTTTTGAGAATACAAAATATTCTTAGATTCTATCACATCAATAAAATTTATTGTTATCTCTCTATTACTTCAATCAATAAGATAACGTACGTGTGGTTTGAATTTAAAAGGGTGTTTGGTATTAAAAAAAGTAAAAATATTTTTTCACAAATCAAGATAAGTTTTTATTTTTAAAATTATTACTTTGATTCTATTTAAATACTTTTTAAATAGCACTGAATCTCTATCATGTACTTGTAAGATCAAACGAAGAAATGAGACACTGATTGAATCTACATGTATGATTATAATTTAAACAAATTTAAATTAAATCATATATATATATCCTATATTTATATGGGATCCGAAATTCAACGTTTACATTGACGGACGAGGCATATAACATCACAGATTAAAAAAAATAAAAAATGTTGTTGTGAGTCGTAACTCGTAATGTGGCATTTGGATGAAGAAATTGATGGTGACGAGAAAAATGGAACTAATTGATGTATAATTACGTTGTTAGAAATGGGTTGAATTAATATGCTTGTTACCTTGAATGTATATCAGGTCGAACAAAGACGACTGGATGTTTGTCCTGATCAAAAGCCTGATGACGAGCCTTACGGCCAACAGGAAATCTGTAAATAACTACTGAAACGCAATAATTGATTTTATAATGGGTGATGAATGATGATACTCATATGGGGCCGGGTGGACGGGCAGATTTGGGGCCGGCCACACCCCCGTCAACTATTTGAAAACTCATCTCGTACACCCTGTGTCCCGCCACCCCAACTTCCGGCAAAACAATTGGAGTTTCCTCGTGTTCTTTTTTTTTGTTTTTGAAACTTGACTTCAAAATCGAATGGTATCTCGTTGAAGTATTACTAATTTACTGTTGCCTTTTAAGTACCAAGGCGGAGACTGACTGAATCAGAAGGCTAGACGCGAGAGCAATGAGGCCGAGAAGGGACGACGGTGACCACTCTCACTCTCCCAAGACACAAAAAGCATGGCTCTCTGTCACCCTCACTTGCCAAAAACGCCTCCTTTTCCTCCTCCTCGGCGTCGCTCTCGCCACCTTCTTCTTCACCCTCTCGCCCTCCTCCTCCACTTTTCAATATCAACCACTTGCCATCTCTTCTTCTCGTCATGAATCCCATCACTGGCTCCAAAACCCCGTCATCGATCCCTCGCTTGCCTACGGCGCCCCCGTTCATTGCGGCGGGAAAATTCCGCTGGGTATTAAGAGGAAGGGGCTTCGGAGCGTGGTGACGGGTGGGGCGGGCTTCGTCGGGTCACACCTCGTGGATCGCCTCATTGCCCGAGGCGATAGCGTCATCGTGGTGGATAATTTCTTTACTGGGAGGAAAGAGAACGTGATGCACCACTTTGGGAACCCCAGATTCGAGCTCATCCGCCACGACGTTGTCGAGCCTCTCTTGCTGGAGGTGGATCAGATCTATCATCTGGCTTGCCCCGCATCCCCTGTCCATTACAAGTTCAACCCTGTCAAGACAATTATATCCTTTTGGAATTCTCCCTCTCGTCTTCCCGCACTTTCTTCTTTTGTTTCTGCAATTTCAATGCTTTGGATTGTCCCCCCCCCCCCGGGGGGTTTTTGGGTTGTCCTTGATGGTTGTGTTCACAAGACCAATGTGGTGGGAACGTTGAACATGCTGGGACTGGCCAAAAGAGTAGGCGCAAGGTTTTTGCTAACCAGTACGAGTGAGGTTTACGGTGATCCTCTGCAACACCCTCAGAAGGAGACCTACTGGGGCAACGTCAATCCCATTGGTGGGTACCATTTCTTTCTCTGTTTCTCCCGCTACTTTCATCACAGTATTTGTCGGTGGCCGGACTAGGACGTATCTCGTTTATTTGTTTAGAACTTTAGATCAATAGGGTGTTACTGGTTATGAGATTAATACTCTTCATCTTTGCCGGTAATTTTGAAATTGTGACGATGGGCGTCGAGATTTTGGTAGCTGCATAAAAGTAGTAGAGAACACTTTTTTCCATCGGCTAGATTCATGGGATATGGCAAGCGGACGTAGATTATATGGGAAGGGAAACGAGGAACCCGTGATTTAGTAGACTACAAAACGATGGAGCGACGCATAGTAAATTCAAATTGAAATGGGGAATGATAATGAATGAAGGGCACGTATGGTGATGATGGTTTAGGAGGGGGCATTTTGGTCCTTGGTCACCTGACAAAGCGGATTCTGCTTGTCTGTTTGTAATAGGTGTCCGAAGCTGCTACGACGAGGGAAAGCGTACGGCCGAGACTTTGACCATGGATTACCACCGAGGAGCCGGCGTTGAGGTCATCTTCATGGACCCTTTTTCTTTTTTTTTTGGGCCTCAAAAGAGCAAAATCTTACTTACCTGTTGCTATACTGACAATATTCAGTCTGAGATAGGCAATTCCATTTCTTGTTTATGCAGGTAAGAATTGCCAGAATCTTTAACACCTATGGTCCCCGAATGTGCTTAGATGATGGTCGCGTTGTCAGTAACTTCGTTGCTCAGGTCGGTTCCTAATCTTCCCCGTCCCGGCCACCACAACTACCCAAAATATATATAAGATAATAAATAAATACTTCTCCGGCTCTAAATATAGGACTCATTTTATAGTATAAGACTTATTTATGTTACAAAATAAATCTTATATTTAGAACGGAATGAATAGATTACATACCATGGAGTGGAATGGAGAAGTGAGTTGTGGTGTGGGCTTCATTTGTGAATTGATGGCGTTGATGCAAGCACTAAGAAAGGAGCCTTTGACTGTATACGGGGACGGGAAGCAGACAAGGAGTTTCCAATATGTTTCTGATTTGGTGAGCCCACACACCTTTTCCTTGTCTTTTGTGTAAACTTAAAACCCTTGATTTGTATCTTTTTCCCCCCATGCGCGCGTCTTCTGCTTACGTAACAGAGATTTCATGACCCGTCTCTTTTGTATTTGCCAAGGTTTCTTCTTAAATGCCGTCCGTTCAATGGCTCCAGGACCATGCTTCATGACGCCTAGATTGATGAAGTGGAGGATGAACACTTGTAGTCGCGCATATAGAGTGAAAAATCATGAAAAATCAAATGTTATGGTAATTCTTATGTCATTGCGCCGGTATGAGTGTAATTGGCGACGGTACCATAGGGAGGCTTCTGAATTGATGATTAAAAAATATGATGGGTGCGTGGGTGCAGGTGGAAGGTCTGATACGCCTCATGGAAGGAGAACACGTGGACCTTTCAATCTTGGAAATCCCGGTGAATTCACCATGCTTGAGCTTGCCAAGGTAAAACTGTTTTTTTTTTTTTCCTTTTTGGGTAAAAAGGCTCGGAGCAGGGGCATTGACGATAGGGAACGAGGAAGCATTGAAGTGTGTGGGCGATACTTGTGTAGGTAGTCCAGGAAACAATCGACCGGGATGCTAAAATAGAGTACAGGCCCAACACGGAGGACGACCCCCACAAGAGGAAGCCTGATATCAGCAGGGCCAAGGAGCTGTTAGGTGGGAACCCAAGGTGACCTACGCACCGGCCTCCCTCTTATGGTTGCTGACTTCCGCCAGCGGATTTTTGGTGACCACAAGGACGCTTCAACAACCACCCCCGCTTAATTTCATTATTAATTCATCGCGCACCTTTTCACTTTGATCCTTTTTTTCCCATCTTGCCAAACACTTATGTTAGTTACTGCCTCAGCATCATTTGGGCTCTAATGCTTTCTTAGTCGTCTGTTCGTTATTCATTCTCAATTTTTTTTAATTATTATTATTATGTTATTACCCTCCCCGTAAATAAAGATTAGTTGCCTCTGAGCCTCGGGTATCCATTTATCTTATTTTCCTTTTTTTTTTTTAGTTTTTTAATGAGATTATTGCCCTCTTCCGTTATCGTTATTATCATTTATCTACCCGAGTCCCATAGCTCATTGGAAGGTTCGGGGGCAACTCTTGCTCCAGAAGGCGCGTATATATAATTAAAATCAGTGGCGTCCAACTCCAAAAGTTTGAAAGCAAATAAAATTACAGGGTCGATACAATAATTCTACATTGCGGAGTGATGTTGCAAACGCCGTCCTTTCAACCCACAAAAATAGCTAGGACACGCTCGTGTTTTCCGTAAACGCTGCTGCGTTTCATTGCCTGGCAATTGCGAAGCAGCTGTCGTGACTTTCTCGACCCCATAGTCAATGGTCTGGCTGTGTTCAATTGGAGGAAGAGTAGTGCGATTTTGAACGGCATCACCGGCTCGCTTGTCGAGCCAATCTATGATGTCGGAGAACACGGTGTGGATGTTTTCGTCGGGCTCGCCAGATGTCAAGCCATGCCACATCTCTGGGTACAGTTTGATGGTCTTGTCTTCACTGCTGGCTCGCTCGTACAATGCCCTGCTCACTTCCGGATCCGTCACCGTGTCCGCCTCTCCATGCAACACAAAGAATGGCAGAGTCACCTCGTGCAGGCTCTCTTCCAGATTCATGCTGGTTCGTAGCATTTCTAGTGCTGTTTTCAGCCTTGGCTTGTCCTGATATATCAACTTGTTTCTCCTTATCTACAGGCGCAATACACTCGCTCGACTCATCAATCATTGCTCAAATGTTGGGATTTTTGAAACGAATATTTCGTTCCTTGCTATTAAAAGGAAACAGAGGGAGAGGTTAATGCTCACCGTTTCTCGTTTGGCAGGGTCTTTAAAGGCTGAATTAATGACATCTTTGGTGGGCACAATCTTCCATGCCGGTATGACATCTTCCACTGTCGTCAAAATGCTTATAACCACGGGGTGTGGCTTCACCTTCTCTGATATCTGCGAAGCAGCGGGATCATTCCATTGCGATCTACCGCATTCGAATGAATGTCTGCAAGAGACGAATATGAATACGTACGTACCTTGCACATGGGGGCGACGAGAACGGCGCCGTCCCAGAAGTGGGGGTCCTTTTTATGCAGGAGCAAGGCCACGGCCCCTCCCATGGACTCTCCATACAAGAACCTGCCCTTTGCTTCATAATCTTTGAGCTCTGAAATGCCAAACTGAATTGATATGAGGCAGGGGACCAAGTGCTGATGAGCATGGGAAAGGAATGGATATGGAATGCGTACCGGTAAGAGACTTGAAAAAGTCATAGCAATCGTTAACAAGGTTGTCAAACCTTCTGATGTAACAGCGGGAACCTTCAGAACGTCCATGTCCTTCGTAATCCATTCCAAACACGCCATACCCAGCGCTCGCTAGCCTCACTCCACATTCTACATGTGCACCCAATCATCAGTCATGGCAGAGCATTTATGTTTACAGTCCACAAATATAGACACATAAACTGGGTCAATTCATTTCTACTGTGCACTGCACACATTTTTTCAGAGATAAGTTGATCTCATGCCGTGTTGCTTGCCACCAAAAAATTGACAGAAGATAGGTATTGTGCAGGGCACCATGGGTGCCTTGAGGGTTGAGAATCGCAGAGAAGCCAATCGTTATCCTTACAAGAATGATGAAAGCGAACGCCAAAATAATCGCCATCTCATGTTTCGTGATCGATCACGATAAATTACATTAGTTTTTTTTTCCCCTACGTTTTTAATTATATGATATTTAGAGTGCTCTTCTTATTTCACAATGTTCCAAACTGGCAATTTTCTGTATGCAAAGAGATAAAATAAAATCCGAAGTGGGAAAGGAAAATAATTGAGAGGCGCTGTCATGGAAAAGATATGATGGAATGACGTGGAAGAAGGGGAGAAGGGCCCGTACCCACTCTGATAATTGGGAAGGGTGTGGGTTGGGTTGAGGTGACGTCGGTGGAAGACTCGGATGCTGCCAAATCTTTACCTTCTCCCCCACGCATCAATATCAGGCCATTTGAACCTATGCAGAGCGGCACGCTTTCTTTCTCCCCCTTGCATGTTTTCTTCTTGTTCTTTTTATTTCCGCTAATATTTGATTTGAGGAATTCCCTCCACACACATAACTATTCATCTAGGAAACCCAGATTCCAAAATATCAGGACCTAACATCGCCTTCTTATCCTTCTCCAGCTATGCAGGCGTACCAAATATGGCCTCATATCATCACTTCGAACCTCCAACTTTTAAAATGAATTGAACCAACATTTCAACTGTAGTATTTAAACGTCTTTATTTCTATTGATTTGTTGCTGTATCTTATCCTTAATATAAGAGTTAAAAGTTAGTTTGATATTTAATTTGATCATAAATTCACTGCCTTTTATCTGTGTCTTTATAATAATTGCACACATTAAATGTTTCATTAAATATAATTTTAATTAATACATATGATTAATAAGTGTGTTTTAAGAAAAATAACATTCATTTTATATTTAACTAATTTTTTCATCTGTTTAAATGAATAAAGACGTGACGTAGGATATCATTATTTTATTGTGGTACAGGGCCCCGAGTACCTTAAAACAATAAATGTTGGATTGGTGGATAGGTACTAAAAGCAGGGCCTGTTACGCGCCATCAATATCAAACCTGGTATCCTTTTGCTGCTGGAAAAGAGGTGGTATGCTTGTATATATGTGTGCGTGTGGATCATACAAGCGTGAGTTGTCAACGCCTTTTATAGACGGGATTCGATCTAACCAAACTTTGGGAAATCTGAGAGTTAATTCGGAGAAAAGCAAGCGAGAGATACACTAAAAAGAGCAGCAAGAACCGGTCAACAGATTTAGCAAGGGGATGGGTCCACGTAGATATAGGTGAACTAACATCTGTATGTGGAAATCTAATCAATTTCAAGCCTAGAAGGGGTAGGTGCAGCCTTGTAATTTTCCATTCTACGCTCTTTATCTTCCCTTCCAATTTTCTTTCTGTAGGAATGACTTGCTCCCGTATCCTATTTCACCACTATCTTCCAGAGTTCTACTCATATCCTATCCTCTTGGTCGTTGAATAATTCAGGGATTGCATAATCCTCAATAAAAAAACTGATACTCGGTTTTTTTTCCCCATGAGCGCATTATTATTATTTTTTTTTTTAGTGTTTAGTGGACACGGCAAGTAAGAAAGTCGTTAAAATTTTGCAGTGAAGGAGACGCGTCCCCCATTCAAACGGTTGGAAGTGGGTGTGGGAGGATCCATGGGGTGATCATTGCTGTTCAAGAATTAAGAGTATGAAAAAGAGGAAGGAAGGAAATTTATTACCTCGCATGGAGCGACTGCATTCCATACCATACCCTGCGATCATTAAGTAATGTAAATTAAGTTAAATATATATACAGTGGCACCCACTTGAGGCTTTAAGAGAGAAGGAGGGGGGAGGGTACCGTGGCAGAGGAAAACAAGAGCCTTGGGAGACGAAAGCGGCAACCAAGCGCAGGTGAAGAGCCGCACTCCCCTGGAGTTCCTTCTGTATCCCTAACGTATAACTCATATGTTAATCATTCTGGATGAACACACACAAGACGAAGAAGAAGAAGAAGAAGAAGATTATGAGGGAGAGATTTACTTCTTGATATTCATACTCTAAATCCATGACGGAATGGGATGAGGGCGAGGAGAAGAAGCAAAATATAAACGACAACTTTGAGTCGCAAATTAAAGTTGGGCCGTGGTTATAGGAAGGAGGAAGAGAAGAGAGAGAGAGAGAGAGAGAGAGAGAGAGAGGTATATGGCAAAGAGATGGCTAGAAACGTGAGGGTCAATGAAACCGTAAGATATTTATAGTGGGATTATGAATGAATAGTATGCCGCAACGGCAGTTGCAAGAAAAACAGAGAAAGGGAAAAAGGCAACCAATTGATAAATAAGTAAACAAAGCGGTGGGTGTGAACAGAACCGCCCATTCCGCGTATCCTCACGCAAGTGGGGACTTTATTTTTCTTGAAAAATATTTTTTTTGATACTGAGGATCAGATAATATTAATAAAAGGAAAAAGGTAATGTCAATTTAGTACATTTCAATTCAAAATGTTATTTAATGATAAATTAATAATTGAATGGATAAAAATGGAATCATAAACATAGCCGGAGACGTGTGCAATTAACAGTTTTAAGAGAGAATTGCATTTATGGTTTCAGGTTTCAACATCTAAAAGGAGAACGGAAGTTTGTACAGTTAATGTGAAAAAATTAGGAAGATTAGGATATTTTATTCTTTTCAAATACATTAGAAAAGTGAAAGGATAAAAATATCCCTGACGATTAAAAAAAAAAGAAAAGCTATTCCGTAGAAAGAAAAATTCTTTCCTCCCTCATCGTCTCTTCCAGCATCAAGAGAAGATGATATGGAACGGTTCAGTGGCAGCCTTGTCTCCTCCGTGACCGTCGCCGTTTCGCCTCCTCTCCTCCTTCAAGCTTCTCTGCAGCACGCAATCCCTCTGGATCCGAGCCTCATCTCCTCCGTGACTGTCGTCAATTGAGCTTCTTGAAAAGTAGAATGGCGTAACCATTCTTTAGATTTGGAATGTACGTTTTTGGTGTGTGATTTTGAGGTTCTGACTTATAGTTGTGGTTCAAGTGGGGTTAGGATCTTGCTTCAGTTGAGATTTTGCGGTGGGCCATTTTAGGATGCTAACGGTATATGATCGAAACCCAAGGGGAAGTCGGGTTAGGATGTGATAGAAGAGGGTTTAATTTAGGAAGAAAGGACGAGGAAGTGAGGAGGATGTTCGCGGTAGTAGTGGTGAAGAGGCGTCGCCGTCGCCGGCAGTGAGATAGCGGGTCTGGGGCACGAGTATTTTTTGCAATAAATGGGTAATAATGGGTGGCAATCCTGTGTTGATCCAACAGATCCTTACTCTGGTTTTTTTTTGGTGGGCTTGGGTCATCAACTATAGGAGTTTGAGTGGCCTTGGTTTATACGTACCTTGTGGTTGGGCCAGCAAAGGTTTCTCAATTATTTTGGGAGACTAACTGGGACGCCTCATAACAGTTATTTTAGCCCAGAACAATGGGTACTGTATAATCTTAAACGAGGAAAGCCCATCGGATCGGTCTAGGGCCTCTGTATCTAAACATTTGGAGGTGGTGGTATGTGTTGGGTTTCTGAAAAAAGAGTAAAGGCGGACTTTTTTTAACCCAATCTATACTTCACAAGCCAGTTTTTTTTTGGGTAAATTTTAATTTTAATAAAAAGAAGTTATTACTTTGTAATTAATTTAAGTGAACCTTATTTTATGTCAAAAACTTAACTTCGGATTTAATAATTTGAAATATTAGTTGGCAAAATTTTTTTTTTAAAATATTAGAAAAGGAACTGGCAAGCTCGTTTTCCTCATTTTTGAGGGTGTGTTTGGTTGGAGGGGAAGGGGAGGAAGGGAAAATGAGTCCCTTCTCTCATTTGGTTAAAAATTTTGGAGGGGAGAGAAGCCAAAATGTTTCCCTCCCTCCTCTCATTTTAGCTCCCTTCCAAATTTTAGGAGTTTTTGGAGATGAGTAAATTTTTGGACCATTATACTCTTATGATTTTTTTGACATTCCACAATCACTCATAAAATATGCTATTATAATATTTATTTAAAATAAAAAATATATTATCCTAAGTAAAAATAAAAAATATAAATTATTATAATTAAAATATATTATTAAAAATAAAAAATTATAATAATATAAAATTAATTATTTTTTATAAATATATTATTTATTAAATATATCTTAAAACTGACAAAAGGCATAGCCTAAAGAGAATAAAATTTCAATTTTTTAGTGCACATAAAATTTGTTAATTTGATTATTTCAAATATATTATTATATTAATTAGAATTAAAAAATACTATACCAATTTTTTAATGCATATATTAATATGATAAGACTGAATTTTTATTAAATTACATGATTTAAATTAATATGTAAATTAATTTATATAATATATTAATAAAAAATATAAACTAATATGTAAAGGTAAAATGATAAATTGTTTATAACTATCCCTCTTCTCCCCTTCTTGAACCAAACAAGGGATCATTAAATATTTCTCCCTCTCCTCTTTTTTGATCAAACCAAATAAGGAGAAGATGAAACCTCCCCTCTCTTTCCCTACCCTACCCCACCCCACCCTCCCCTCCCCTCCCCTCCCCTCCCCTCCCTCAAACCAAACAGGCTCTTACGGTTCCCCTTCCCTGCTAAAAAACGGCAACGATTGATGTCGTTTAGAAGACCGAAACCCTAGATAAGACCCGAGCGGAACCCTATTGATAAAGGAGTAATTAGAAGCCTGTACTGGAAACAAGGCCTTTGCCAGTGAGTGACTCCGCCGAGACGCCAAAATGAGCCGCGGGGCAGCAACTGGAGCCAAGGGCAAGAGGAAGGGAATCAGCTTCGTAATCGATTGTTCGAAGCCGGTCGAAGATAAGATCATGGACGTCGCCTCGCTTGAGAAGTTCCTTCAGGAGAGGATTAAAGTCGGTGGCAAGGCCGGTGCCCTCGGTGATTCCGTCACCGTCACTCGTGACAAGAGCAAAATCACCGTTACTTCCGACAGCAATTTCTCTAAACGGTACCCTGATTTTGTTTCTTTTCGTTTCTCCTGCTGCTTTTGGGTTGCGGGTATAGCTAATGATGATTTTTCCATTCGTTATGGATTTTTACTGCCCTTAATTATTACTTATTCATTTAATTTATTCACACTTCGTCTCATCGCTGTCTTAGCTGCGGTGCGTGCATCTTTCTGGTGAAATGTTTGAGCCTTTAGTTGACAACTTGACGGGATTCAAATCTAATTTTGGTTTTGCGGAAACTATCTGAATGTATCAATACATTTTTTTGGGTCGAAGATTTTAGGAGGATCAAGAGTAAATGAAGCAATGAAAAAGGAACAATTTTAATCTAATTACATTGCCTTTTCTTAATTATTGAGAATTGACACTGTGGTGTCTTGTTCTTAATATTTTCAGATTGTTGACTATGTTTTAAGCTTGAAATTAATGAAGTATAGCTGTTTGCTGGTTTGTTGTGTCCTCGAACGTGAGGACTAGCTTTTGCTTGTATGGGTTTCCTTTGTGGTGCTCTAAAAATTTGGTTTGAAGTTTATGCCCCTCTAAACCTGAATAAGAAGTCAGAACAAGCTAGAAAGAGCTTGTCTTTTGTATAAATACAAGGTCAACATTGCAACTTCTTTTATGCCTGTGTCTTATGGTATATATGTACGATTTGTCTCTTGAACGTTTGTGATAGTGACTTTGTTAGTGTAGACACAGAACATGATTTATGGGGTATATTTTGAGTCACGATGTTGCAATTTTCTACATTACAAGTTATGTGAATCTGCAGCAGTACAGTACCAGAATCGGGCCTTCTGCTTATGCCGGCAGAATTTTATTGTGATTCTTTTCGAGCCTGCTTGTCATGTTTTTTAAGGGAAAAAAACCCATGCTTTGCCCAAGCGATAGATTCGTTCCTTCATTGTGTTAATGCGTATAACGAGAAATATGCTGCCTTACGCTTCTTCTTTTTTTTTTCACCTTCATTTGCTGCCTTTCTCTGCCATTTAGATTTCCTTAATTGATTATGCTTAATTTTTATGTATCAGGTATTTGAAATATTTGACAAAGAAGTACCTGAAGAAGCATAATGTGAGGGATTGGCTACGCGTGATCGCATCCAACAAGGACCGCAATGTCTATGAGTTGAGATACTTCAACATCGCCGAGAACGAGGGAGAGGAGGAGGACTAGAAATCTGAGTCTGTCGCGGGGCATTAAGACGCTATCTATTAGTCTGTGTCGTTGTGGAGTTTCCTTGGTTTGTTTATCATATTAACTTTTAGTGGTTAATTAATATTCTTGTGTTTCTTTTTGGTTGACCAATTTTGTACGCGTTTAAGTTTTATACTTTAGTGATCATTGATCGCGGAGGTAATTATTAAAACTGGTTTTGAATAAGCATATATGTTTACAAGCGGTTCCCAAGAATTTCGGAGCTTGAGTTACAATGCGGTGTTTTATCGTCAAGGCATGTCGTTATTTTTTATCGGCCTTAATGATGCAGCATTTGGGGTTTTCCAATTGTTGTGAGCGTAATAAAGTGGGTGATGAGATTTTGACCAAGTTTAGTTCTTATTTAGGAGTTTGATGACCAACAAGAAGTCTTATCATCATTGATGGAACCGTTTGTTATAATTAATTGATACCCGTCAATACGCAAATGGACGTGTAGTTTTTGCTATAATCGATTTGTCATTATTAGGCTGTGCTTGTTACTTCGTATCATTTTTATTATTAATGCGTATCATAAGCGTCCTATATATAATGAGAATTGCAAAGATGGCATGAAAAAACACAGAAAGAAGGGTAAAATGTATGGGCTCAAGGCCACGGCTGATGAAGAATCCTGAGAATGGGTCAAATACGGCTTGATGTCGGGGAAGGATAATGATTTTAGCAGTGCCACTGAAGTTGGTTTAGGAAGTTGAGGGTGTTATTTGAATACTGAACGGGCTGGAGTAGTCGCTGGGTTGGTCTATGTTCTGAACAGGCTATTCAAGGGCTGCCTAGAAGTCACTCGAAAAAAGGGTTGCCAAGAAGGGGGAAAATGTGTGCCGTTAGCTTCAACGGAGGGGATTTGATGGCCCCTATCGGATTTGATTGTATTCAAATATGATATGACAACAGTGAATGTGTGATTTACATTTAAGAAAAAAGGCGCTGCCATGAAAATTTGGCCCGAGAAAGCGTATGATAATAGAGTCCAGCGTAGCTTGATCTTCTGCGTGTCATTGAGAGCTGACTAACTAATTCGCAGGGGTTTTGGCTTTTGGGTCTCCTTACTATCTGTAATTCTTTTTCTGGCAAACGTGTCCTGAGAATTCATCTTCAATCTGCGCGTGGTGTGTACTATTTAAGGATCAGCTCCTCTTCGCATGACATGGCAGAAAATTCTATGAATTTCAAGAACAGAAGTACAGGGCACTCAATAATTTCTCAAAAAGCATAATCATTTGGACATCTAATATTTGAGGCAAGAGAAATGAAATTTGGACTCAAATTTGCTTCGCAGGCATCCCACCGAGTAATATGATTAGGTCTCACATTTAGCACCATTGACATAATACAAAGCCCCCACATTCCGAGGATTTATTAGCAGGAACAGAGGTTGTATCGACGCTCTTTCTTACGTACCTCCCCTCCAACACCCAGCTCCCATATCGCCACAAGGAATCAATTCGCATCTCCATATAAAAATTGCTTGCACTTGCAAATAGTAGCCTAGGCAAGCGCTGGTACAGCTTCGAGCTGTTTCTTTGCAGAACTGCACTTCTTGGTTACAAACCTGGAGTCATAATTGGGGGGTAAAAAAATACAAATCGTCATTGTTATTTCATTTCAATCAAACTGAAATTGAAACCGAAAAACAAAAAGACAGAGATGAACCACTATGATGCAATCCCGAACAATGATTGTAATCTGCAAATTGTTATTGGAACTTTCTTTATAACAATTTTACATTATACACGATTTAGGGTTTATGAGAGACTATTTTGCTCCTACATTAATATAAGGGGATCAGAAATGATATCTTTATTCCAATCGTTACCCTGTTAAAAGAGAAATGATATACAATATTATCCAACAATAGGTCTTCTTGGAAAGAAAACTGTGGCAATGAACATCCAAGGGTTAAAAAAGAAAAACCTGTAAGAAAATGAGGTTACCTAAAGAAATCCCTCCACAAAAACTCATGCATCAACCAATTTGAATTTGAGCCGCTGCCACCATCATTTTCGTTCAACGAAACAGAAATAGCCCTATCATTGGCACAATTCATTAGCAATTGCATAAGCTATTTGTGACTAAAATTATGGTACCAAAGAAAGAAAGATAAATCACTGAAGGGCGCACCTGCTGGCAGTTTTCTTTAGTTCATCAAATATCGTGCGAGGGGAGACGCATCCTGTCAACAACCATGGAGAAATTTTGCAGGAAAAGTTGGCACCGTATATACTATCTTGAGTGCCATTATTAAACCCCTTGTGCGGTTGAGCTTTGCACTCAGCTGCAAATCTTTTGAGCCTCTGTAGTGCTTCAGTCTCCCCTCCTACCATAGAATTGCTGGCAGCTTGCTTGCCATTCTACAAGATGACAATGGCATTACAGTCAATTAGTAGTTAAATGCAGAGTCCAAATTTTTCAATTACTAAATTGAATTTTCATGAACAATTTATTCTCCTTCCCCAGAGGACGCAAAAATGATGAGCAAAAATATATAGAAACTAGAAGTCAACTAGTCATGACCGCATTTATGGGAATTAAATATTTTGTTCCCGTACAGCTTAAGAGATTTTAGTCGTGAAGCAGGAGCAAGCAAAATGTGATGTTGGCAGTCATGTACTAGTCATTACCCTGTGCTCTACTAACAGATTCATTTTAATATGCTCACAACTCAACGTCAAGAATTACCCCACAATCGGTTTGATAGCCAGCTTAGCCGTCATTTTGATAGCAACACACATTGTAGAATCTCAATTCTAAGTCTTTTCAGAGAAAACTTGATTGATACCCCAATCTCCACCCTAAGCCAAAGAACTAGCTCTCATTGTCATTAATACAAAGGCGCTACTAACTCAGGCTTACTCAGAACTACCCCATTCTTCCATGAAAAATGATCTCACATGACATTCTTTTGACAGACTTATGTAATCTCTTTTAACCGGCATTATTGGACCAAATTTGCTACCAATTGTCTAAAAATTATCCCGAATTTTTTGTGTTGCATGTAACCAAGAGATAAAAGAATAAACTTATGGAGGCACACGATCGTCGTTATCACAGCAGATTATTAACAGTAATCATAGCATTTTGCATAACTGAACAAATCCGAGAAACAGACCTGTGTTATTGTCGCAGATGGCTTAAGCCCAAGGTCCGACAAAGAGGGAATTTGCCCCGGTTCCACGTCTCCTCGAGACGGCAGTCCTTTTAACTGATCGAATGCATCGATTGTCTTCCTTATCTCCAACTTTTGAGCTTTCTCCTTAAATCCTCCATAGTTGGAAGGCATGTCCTCCAACTTGAAAGGTAAGTCATCAACATGGTACAAAGTACTACCCCAGAAGTACTTCAGCTCTATGTTCTCTTCCCTCATTGCCGCTTCAACTCTCTCCTCGACCTTCACCTCATCGCGGGAAGCCTCTCTGTGGACGTACAAAGCATCAGCCCCAACTGCCTTCGCCAACTCAGTCAATATAGTCTCAGGCTTCCCAATTCTGACCACAAGATCAGATCCTCTTGACTGAAGGTTCTTTCTGAGATCCGAGACCGCTTCGATCAAAAATGTGGCATGGTAAGAGCCGCTCTTATCGAACCCAGACGAAGATTTCCCATGATCTCTAGGATCGAAACAGTAAACTGGCAAGACCGACATGGATTCGTTGTTGGCGGAATTGAGACATTCATTGTCGCGAACCCGTAAGTCATTGCGGAACCAAACGATGGAAGCTCGACGAATTGCAGCCCCATGAGATGGATCTAAGGGGCGATGAGGACCCAGAGTGAGAGGATTTTGGAGAGGAATGGCTGAAATAGTGGACTTGAAGGAGATTTTCGAAGGGGAAGGAGAAGAGGTGGAAATAGAAAGGTGAGTGAGAGAGGAAGCCTGGGTAGGGACTCTGACCTTGTTAGGTTGCGGCGAGAATAAAGCAGAGCTCTTGGGTTGCACAAAGAAGTGAGAGGGGAGAATCGTGGAGAGAGAAGGAGAGATGGAAGCAGTGGCAAATGGGGGTAAGGTGGTCTCTTTGGAGGGCACAATGGCGAGTGGATTTTGCGTTTCGGCGGATATGAGGTCTTCGTTATCCCGTATCTGGCGATTGCAATCCATTTGGCCGGAGCTTGAGACAGATGGGGTTGGAGAAAGGAATGGTCGTGTGGAGCTCCATCTCCAATTCCGAGTGCTTTGTAATTTAAGCTTCCGATGTTCTCACCAGTCGCCCCTCACCAGCTCCACCTAACCTCTTCTAGCCCCACGTCAACTCGCATATACCTTGCGCTGCCATCGGTCCAAAACACATATGGGTGTTTTTGTCCAAACAAAAAAAATGGTTACCCTTCTGTCATTGTTGGGGCATTAATCCCAGGCATGATCAGGAAGATTCTGTTCGAAGGTAATCTTGTCCTTTGATCCTACTCTCTATTTTCAGAAAGAAATTTATTTTTTCCCTAAATTTATAGTTTACTTTTTCAAATTATTTTTATTAATTGTGAGTTTGTATTAAAAAAATTTCAACACAGATAACTTAAAAAAACTAACACAACTTTTTGTGAATAATTAACTTAATTTTTTAATTTATTATGGTCAAAATACTCATAACCCTATTTACATATAACTACCGTTTCTTTAAAAGTTTAAAAAGCAAACCCTTAATTTTTATATTTTGATATTTACTATTTTACTGTTAAAATCACCATTAAATCTAATAGACTATATACCACATCATGTTACTGAAAATTTGGTGGCAGCAGACATATGTTTTTATTATTTTATTTATTTATTTTTTTTTTTTGGGTTTAAAAAACTCATCATTAGACCAAAGGGCATTCTTCAACCCATAATAATCGCCGCACCCAGTCGTCTTCCTCTCTCAATTTCCTGCAATTCTCTCTCTCATTCTCCCGCAGCTCGCAAACCCTTCCTTTATAACATTTGGTTCATCTCCCAGTCATAAATTCATTCCAAAAAATCATCTTCACAGCATTCTTTCTTTCTATATTGAACTTTTTTTGGTGATTTTTTCATGATCGTGTTATCGTCTCTTTCCGTATCCATGTCTCGCGAGCCCGCCCTGTTTTCTCCTGCTTCAGCTTCTTAGTCTCCTGCAACTCCCAAATATACTCGTTTGTCTACTTTATGAGTGTGTCGTCTTCCTCATAAACCCCTTTGATCTCTCTAAAGTGGAGTGTTAGGCGCTGAAGGCCTTTCTTGATTGAGAAACTAGTGCTGATGGCGAAACCGAGACAATGTTGTGGACTGGAGCATAATATATCCTCATGTAAAATTTGGGCCAAACTTGTTCCAGCGCCAGACTCAAGCTTCCACAGTGACTATACGTTGTTTTATTTTCTATAATTTGAAACTACCAGTTACTTGGTGCTTATAGTTCTCATATTATGCAAAAGCCATTCCTTATTGGCAGTTTTGCTAACATATATATGGGAAGTGGTTGCTATTTGTTAATGGTTCTGCCTTTTGAATTTGGGAACGTCTTGTTTGCATATGGCAGTTGGCGACTTGGCATCATCCATAAGAATCAACAGCATGATTAGGCGGAGAGAAATCCGAGAGAGAGAGAGAGAGAGAGAGAGACAGTTGCGGGAGGTGAAAGAAAGCTGCAAAGATGATTTTTGGAATGAATATATGATTATGACTTAGGAGATAAATCAAATACTACCTCCGGTACTAATTATAACAGTCAGTTAATTAATTTAAAAAGATTAAAAAAATTAATTAAGTTAGTTATTTGTCTTAAATAGGTGTTATCTTTTTTAAAATATCTTTACTAATCAAGTGTATTGACTAGAATTATCATTGTTAGAAGTGCTACTTTGAAAAAAAATATAAATATAAAAAACAAAGTGAATTAGAATCTTATATTTAAAATTAAAATAAAAATCAAACAGAGTCTTATATTTTAAAAACCGGAGGTTGTGTTATAAAGGAAGGGTTTGCGAGCTGCCGGAGAATCAGAGAGAGAATGGCAGGAAACTGAGGGAGCAGAGCAAGACGATGTGCTCGGGTCCCCGCGATTATTATGGGTTGAATCTCTAAAATGCCGCCAGCTCATGAGTTTTTTCTTTTAACTAGAATGATAAATAAAATAATATCATATGACGTATATTCCGCTAAATTTAACGGTGAGGATTTGCTTTTAAAACTTTTAAAGGTCAAGAGAGCTTCTAAAGGTGAATAGAGTTATATGTAACAGGATTAAGTTAAGGAAAGTTATAAGTATTTTGATCATTTAGTATTTAATCCTTATACTTGGTATTGGACGAATATAACAATTCGGCAGATTGGGTATCTAAATGATTATTCAAATAAAGAATTGGCGAATCACAAGACATCGAAATTGACAAATTGTCCTTGCTGCCCGACTTAAAAGGTGTTTGGATATAACCAAACTATAGTTTGGAAAATAGATTTTGGGAAGAATAGATTTTTTAAAGAATAGATTTTATGAAAAAGTGATTCTGAGAAGTGAGAATGTTTGGATAGTTGTTATCAGAAGCACTTTTTACATGTACAAATTACTAAAAAAGACATAAGTTAATATGATAATTACAGAAAAAATATATTTTATGATATATTTTAATTTGAAGGAATAAAATTGTTAATAATATATTTTTTATTAACATAATTAATAATACATAAGATAATATAATTAATAAATAATTAATATGTATATATATTTATAAGATATAAGATTAAATATATTTATAAAAAAATATGTTTATAAAAAAACAACAAGATACATATCCTATAGGCTCTCACACTCTCCTTTTTTTTATAAAAACAAAAAAATTTTACTTTTCTCAAAACCATGGTTTTAGTTTTTTTAAAGGTATTTGGGTGATTTTTTTCCAAACTATAGTTTGGGTTATCACCCAAACACCTCCTTAAGTCCTGTTTGGTTCACCGAAAATGAGATCATAAAAAGGAAATGAAAATATCAAAATAGATGCACAATTTCCTGTACATTTTTCCAGTGCCCCCCGGAAGTCCATTTCCTTACCTGTCTCAGACGGGAAACGTAGATATTCGTGAGTGCTACCTTTTATGACCAAAACACCCTTGCTCATTTTTTAAATTTGCACCTATATCTCCTTCGTTCTTCTTCTTCTACGGTAACTCACCGTGATCCAAATCTAACTTAAAAGGATATTTGAATGAAATAAAATTATAATTTTAAAAATAATTTTACAGTATACAAAATAAAGATATAAAAAATTATTTTAATTTATAAAAAAATATTTTTAAAAAACACGTTATTTTTCTTATTCTTTCTTCTTCCAAGTTCTTCATTTCTGCTGCTGTACTCTCCATCAGAGAACCCATGTCATGTGAAATTAAGGCTGACAGATACCTGTAGGGGGTGATAAAATCACACAGTGCGCATCCTATGATAGGCAATGTCCTTGATGAGGAATAGATGTACATGTGACATAGTTGCAGGTAAAATGAATAATAATATATCACCGCAGATAACAAATACCCAGAGCTTAGGCCCAATAACAGGAAAGCGAACTGTAAAAACATATATATTTTTATTCTAAATATAAAAATCTAATTTACTTTGTTCTTCGTATTTATCTATTTTTTAAAATAGTTTTTATAATAATAATAGTTCTAACCAACACACACTTGATTAGTAAGAATATTTTAAAAATAATACTTATTTATTATAAATAATTAATTTAATCAATTTTTTTAATCTATTCAAATTAGTCAATTATCTTTTATAAGAAGTACTAAGTAATTATAGCATGTAACATCTGAACGAGGACACCTCGCCCTAGCATCATCTAATCCTCAGATCTTATAACTTGAAACGTGTGATCTAGGACCAAACTAAATCAAGATTTCAATTTACAGCAGCAAACGATTGTCAGACACAACTTATTTAGACAAGTTTTTTCCTCGACAAGCCAAAAAAAAAACAAAGAGTGAAGATACTATAAAAGCATTTAAAAAAAAAAAAACTTCTTGCAAAATACAACAAAAACCCTGCAGTGGCTAGTCAATAAAAGAGACATGAGGGGCGACCTTGAAGGTGCATTAATCAGAAATGGGAGTGTCAGCGCAGATCTGATCCCTTGTGAGCGGCAATTATTATTAAATCGCCGGTGTAACCCCAACGCAGTAGATCAAGGAGAAGCTCATGCAGTACGTTGTTATTTGTCAATGAATTCTGATATAAAAAAAACAGTACTTAAAACCCACCCCAATCATATGATCAGGACGAACTAATTTATTATAAAACATCGCAATCATAACGGTTATAACGACTATTCATTAGTGTATATTATACAATTCCAACTTGAAATATTTAGTACGAGAGCAGAGTCCATATAAAACTTGGAAGTGAAGTTGTCCCAACAAAATCACAAGAAGCCCATCACTACTTCTGGATTTCATGCAGCCCATGCATTGGATAATTATCTTCTGACAAATTAGGTCATCCCATAAATAAACAACATTCTCAGCTATGAACAGGTCTTGCCTCTGGTGCTGCTTGCATTAACTATCATAATTATACTTTGTTGTTACTGAAACATAGAACGTCTGTGTTGGGACTTGCGGTAATGCGCGTGTTTTTCTCCCAGCAACGTCCTCGAATGCGTACAGGTGCAAGGAAGCTTACGATTTTCTTGCCTTAAGCACTACACTTTACTTACTCCATTGTACAAGACTTGAAGGGGGGAAATGAATTAAAAACGAAGCATGGACGACCGAGACAAAGATTTGATTCAAGGTTTGTGGATTATGGAACACTGCACTGTACTCCAGCGGCTACAACGTCTGGCTTCGTGTCTGTCGTTTTCTTCCGAAAAAGAAAAAGACTGACAGAAGGAAATCTTCTAATTCCATGGGGAACCGTGCTCACGGAACCTCCTGACAATCCCAACAAGTGAAGTGCTACGCTGGTTTTCTAATGCTTCCAATTTGGTAATATCACACACTCACTCCAACTATTGCTTAGCTCATTGGGATTTTCTTGTGTTACACTCCAGCGGACCTCCTCCTCTGCGCTTCTGCTCTCTGTCTGGTGCCGTGGTTACATTATCCCATTTCACTTGCAGTTCAAATTTCAAGAACTAAGACGACTTCAAAGTCCAGAAGCTGCGCTCACACAGATTACGAAGTAGCCTTCTCTCCGCTTCTAACTACAAAAAATATTATGGTCCACACACACACACACGCCTCCCAAAGCA